CAAGTTGAAAGCTATGCCTGCTGAGGAGGAGTAGGGACCCTGTGTTTGTCTTGGAGGGTTTGAGACATTCTTTTATGGAAAGTCATGTTTTTTGCTTTTTGGTTTTTTCCCTCAGCCTTTAGAAAAAAACACATTTTGGATCTTGCTGCTGCTGGGGGCAGGGTGACTTTCAGACAGACACACCAGCGGGGCCTGCTTACCGCTCTGCAGGGTTTGTTTTCCTCCGGAGAGCACCCCGCTGGGAAGCATTCCCGTGGGAGTCAAGCCTTTCAGGGTCAGCACACTCTCACTCTCCTCTCTGGAGGGGGACAAAGAAGACAAAACCATCACCTTTTGTTTATTTTTTTCCTCCTTTATCCTGCTCTCTGCAGAAGAAAGAAGAAGCTGTAGGAAGAGAATGTGTTTGGGTGTTGACTTGGAAGTCGCTCATGTTATTTTACCACTCAGTCATCACTATTGACGATGAGGGTGCCTTCAGATAGAGAAGACGGGGCATGGACCGGGGCAGCAGAGGATGGGCGATGTGGGCAGGTTCACCTGTAGCAGTCCGAGATTATAGACTGGGAGCCAGAAGGGGCCTCAGGCCCTCAACTCCCTCCTTTTGTAGCTGAGGAAACTGAGGCCAATGCTGGTAAGGTCCCACTGATGGTGCAACCTGGGTCCTCTGACTCAAAGTCCATTGCTTTTCTGACTGAACACGTTCCTATCACTGCCATGATGGGGGAAGATTGTAACTTTCACATCAGCCCTGGTGGATAGTGGGGGGAGGGGAGGGAGTAAATCATCACCTACACCCTCTCCATCTATTGGCGTCAGGTTCTGGATTATTTTATCCTCCAAGGCACCAGGACACCAGGGCCTACCCAGTATGAATGGTCTTCCACCATCCCTCCCCCAACTTTGGTCTTTGCTCTTACACAGGAAGCAATGATCACACCAATATTGTATTGCTACTGGAAAAGTGGTAATGATCTAATACCCCTGTGACTGGCTAAGCTCTCTTCCCTGGACACGATTCGCAATATGTATTGTATTTCCCTAGCAGAACGTAAGCACCCTTAGTTAGGACAGAGGCAGACTTGTATTTGTAGTTTCTCGACTTACTGTTTGAACTCTAATAATGAGGGGGAATAGGTAAGGCTTCTGTAGGGAGGATCATGTAAATTAAACCTTGAAGGTTGTAAGCAGGGGAGACAATGAGGGAATGCATTCCAGCAACAAGGTAGGAAAGAGATGTTGGGATTGGAAAAAGGAAGTAGGTCATTTTGGCTGGAATGGAGCATGTGTGAAGGGGAAAGAGAGACTTTAAATGTCAAATTTTCCCTAGAGGCAATTGGGAACCACAAAGGTTTCTTCACCAGGTATATGGCATGGTAAGATTTGTACTGTGCATAGATTATTTTGGCAACTGTATGGAGGGTGGATTGTATTGGAAGAAAAAAAATAGAAATTGGAAGTCTAATTTGGAGGCTGTTGCAACAGTTAAGAAAAAAAGTGATAAGGGTTGAAAGTAGGATGGTAAGGGCATCTAGGTGGACAGAGAACCAACCCTAAAGTCAGGCGGACTTGAGTTCAAATCCAGCTTCACACACTTAACACTTACTACCCTGGGCAAGTCACCTAATCTGGATTGCCTTGGGGGAAAAAAAAAAGAAAGTAGGATGGTGGCTATGTAAATGGATTGAAATGAATAGAAGGAAGAGATATTTAGGAGATGAAATCAGCAATACTTGGTGACTGATGGAATAAGTGTGTTGGGAAAGGGAGCAAGAAGGATGGGCTAAGTGAAGATAACTCTGAGGTTGAGAATTTGGGTCACCAAAAGAGTCATGGAACACTGGACTTCACTGAAGAGGTTGAAGGACGTTTGGGTTTAATGGTGAGAGTATCAGGAGTTCTGTTCTGGCCATGCCGAGCGGAGCCTATGTCAGGTTAGGCGTGGAGGTCAGTGAGCAGAGATTGTAAGAACAGATGGGAAAGTACCCGAGAGAAAGGATCTGAACCTGAGGAATGTGGAGGATGTGAGCATTGTGAATGAATTTTTGGAATAGTATAGCTGTATGAGTTGACACTGTATTTCTGCATCATCCTCCAACTTAAATTTTTTTTTATTTAACAAATGACACTATCTGCGTGACGCATCACTTCCCATATCAGTTTCCTCATCTGTAAAATAGGGACAATAATAATTATGCTACCTACTTCACAGAGTTGTCATGGGGAAAGCTTTTAGGAAATTTTAAAATATTATAGACACGCGAACTTTTGTTATCAGTGTTTGGGTCTTCCAGGGACATGGACCATTTATTTGCAGGTACTACAGAGCCTATAAGGCAGTGCACACGGTGGATAGTGAGAGCTGCTCTCAAAGTCAGACTTGGGTCTTGCTAAGCCTTAGCATAACATAGCCTGGAGACCACGAGCACATTCCTCTCACTATTTGTGGAACAAGAAAGGATTAGCCAAGAGAGAAGAGAAAAGCCAGGCACTGGACCTACTATTCTGTAGTACAAGAAAAAGTCTGGAGGCAAAATCAGAGAAGCTTTTGGCTAAATTTAGGATTTGAGATTACACAATATAGGTGTGATTTTTTTCTTTCTCTAGCCTCTCCGGTTCCTCATCACAACAGATCATTGAAAACTGATTATAGAAGTCACATGCTCAAATACATCCTTCCAACCTGAAAAACAAAAATCTCTTGAGGAGATTAAAGTTAAGTTGCATTAATTAGGAACAGAGGACTGCCTTAAGTGAAGAAGTTTGTCATCACCTTCAGGAAGGCCATTTTTTTCCTAGAGTCTTAAAGACTGTTTGAAAAATCTCTGTTTTGTAACAAAAGGAGGTTTTTCATACCCTATTTTAAATATGAAATATTAAATAGACGTTTGTTATTCTTCTCAAAGATTTATTGGAATAATATAGATGATGGCTCCAAAGTATTGCTGTTCATTTTCTGGAATTTTAGTTAAGGGGATCTGAGGCTTTCTCTTCCTTTCTTTCTTTCTTTCTTTCTTTCTTTCTTTCTTTCTTTCTTTCTTTCTTTCTTTCTTTCTTTCTTTCTTTCTTTCTTTCTCTCTTTCTCTCTCTCTCTCTCTCTCTCTCTCTTTCTCTCTTTCTTTCTTTCTTTCTTTCTTCTTTCTTCTTTCTTTCTTTCTTTCTTTCTCTCTTTCTCTCTCTCTCTCTCTCTCTCTCTCTTTCTCTCTTTCTTTCTTTCTTTCTTTCTTTCTTTCTTTCTTTCTTTCTTTCTTTCTTTCTTTCTTTCTTTCTTTCTTTCTTTCTTTCTTTCTTTCTTTCTTTCTTTCTTTCTTTCTTTCTTTCTTTCCTTCCTTCCTTCCTTCCTTCCTTCCCTCCCTCCCTTCTTCCTTGTTTCCTTTCATTCCTTTCTTTCTTTCTTTCTTTCTTTCTTTTTTTTAATCTAGCCCTTGGTACACTCCAACAGAGAGGAAAGATGGGTTCTAAGAGTTTCCCATTTATGGGCTGTCGAGGCTTAACCTTTTGCCAACTCTGGAGCCTAAGGCCTGTGACAAATTAAATTAAAATGCAAAATGACTCATTTCCCAAGAAGTCAACTTTTTACCATGGGTAATATTAGAGCTTTTACTCTGGAAAGTACTTATAAGACATCAGTTTAACCAGAAGAGCAAGGAATTGTTAGTGCAGGTTTAAAGCACATTATTCAAAGGAAAAGTGTGTTTTTTATAACTTTTGTTGAAACAATAGTGTTAAAACATTAAAACATATTTATTAAGTGCTGAGTTCATTAGGCAGGGGTTCTTAATCTGTGGGCTGAGGACACCGTGAGGGCTTTAATCCTTGTGTCCTGAGCACTGGCATTTATATCTTGATTTAGCTCTAACAAAATAGACCGCATGATTCAGCATAATGAATAAGCCAAGACATCTTCTGCAAACCGAACAAATGTCTCATGAGAATATATATTATGACTTCCCTAATGGCTAGCATTTATATAGTGCTTTAAGGTTGCAAAACACATTACAAATATTATCTCCTTTCCCCCTCATAACTACCTTGGCTGTTAGGTGCTATGATCATCAAGATTTTAAAGATGAGGAAACTGAGGCACACTGGTTAAGTGACTTGCCCAGCATCACACAGCTAATAAGTGTCGAAGTCAGGATTCAGACACAGGAGCTTCTGACTTCAGGTCCAATACTCTATCCGTGTGTTCAGCAAAATAATAATTTATTAGAAAGCATTACTTCATTCATAGTGTTGTTGTTCAGTCATTCCAGTTACATCCGACTTTTACCCTAGTTGGGGTTTTCTTGGCAAAGATACTGGAGTACTTTGCCATTTCTTTCTCAAGCTTGTTTTACAGATGAGAAACTGAGGCAAATAGAATTAAGTGACTTGCCCAGGATCACATAACTGGTAAGTGTCTGAGTCCAGATTTGAACTTATGAAAATAAGTGATCTCTTCTGCTGTACCAAGTAGCTGCCCTGAATTTATTGTAGTTTTTTGTCATCATTCATTTTTTCAATTAAGAAATATTAATGATATAATAATTGATAGGCAGCATGGTAGATAGAGTGGAGGGGACTGGCCATAAAGCCTGAGCTTTGTGTCCTGGACAAGTAATTTAACCAATTTTATTGATAGAGGGAGTTTCTCCATCTGGGAATTACCTGAATCAATCCAAACCAGAGGGAGGTGAGCCCCAGAGATTTCACTTATAATGGATTTTGTGGGGCTTGATTGAAAGCTTGAACAAAATAAAATCATGGGTCTTGCCCCAACACCTACAATTACTCTCATTTGGACTCTATTAATTTTTTTTAAGTTTTCAAGGATTCTCAGACTCAAAATGGTTGAGAACCAAATGTACAAACCGAATAAGGAAACAGAGAACAAAAAGCAAGTGATCCCACCTCAGAACTGAGAACACTCTCGCCATCTTGCCTATTGCACGGATCTTGTTCCTAATCACCTCCTTCCGGGCTGCAGCTGTGGCTCCTATATATTTTAAAACAGAAAGTTAAGGAGTCAGTGACATTTTCTAACTGTGATTATTTATCCGATTAACAGAAATCACACTACACAAGAGGTAAGAAAATGTTTTTCTCAAGTAAATAGCTAGGTAGTCCATGTTAAAGGTAACTGTTTTCAGGTCATCGGTCCCCCAGCTGTCTATTCTTTTACCCCTCACTCCACCCCCCCCCCCGACTCTCCCCCACTCCCACACACAGAGCAGGGTAGGGAGGGAAGAGATCGCCTCTGCTGCCAACTACAGTCCATCTCTTCTTGGACTCCCAAGAAGAGTGGAAACAGGGGCATTGCCACAGCAGATGGTCGGGCAGCTGTCCACATAAGCTTTCAAGGTGAATCACAGTCAAACTTGTTATGAAAAGCAGTAGATTCAAGTTCATATAGGGCCAGAATGTAACCCTGACAGTAAATAAACCTGTGATACTGTGTACCTTAACACACAATGTTCTGAAAACACAATGTTCCTGAATTGTTTGCTTTATTTATAATATTCTTTTCTAGATTTTCAGATTATTTGCTGCCTTAAAAGGCAGAAGGGCTAAGCTAGAGACCAGTGGTAGGGACAGAAATACATGGGTCCAAGTCTTACCTCTGACACGTATCAGCTGTGCAAACATGGGCCTGTCACTTAAACCCTTGGTAGCCCAGGCAGCTCTCTGACACAGCCCTCCCAGTCACCGGGACGTGAAAGGGATCAAACTATTATCCCAAAGTACTAGTCCTTCAGAACTGAGCCAGAGCGCATATCCAACCCCCCCACAGAAAGAACACATGCTCAGCTCCCTGGTAGATGCCCCAGTGGAACGGAGCTGAGGGTTAGCCCATTACACTTACAAATGAGGTGCCAATACTGCATTAGTGGACAAAGGTTCCAGAATAAGAATTCCCTGCACTGATTAAAGCACATGTCCAGACTCGGTTCCCCACCAAACCAAAAAAGCCAAACCTCCAAATATCAGACAGTTGTATATGTTCTACTATTACCGTTCACATGAAGAAGTTAGGCATTGGTTAGACAAATTCATCATTTCTTACATAAGGACTATAAAATCATAAGGTGACCTAACTTTCATTTTTACTGCTTATCACTATTAGAGATTACACAGTTCTCCTCTCCTCCCCACCCCACAGTTTGCATACTATCATTCAGGAACTGATGAATAATTCTTAAACTCCCATATGCATTTATTAGCATGGGCAGAACTCACAATGACAGCTATTTCACTCTCGGACTTTATCATCCAAAACAAAAGGAGATGGACCCATAGATTTTACTTTTTATAGATTTTTATGGGGTTTGATTACAAACTGAAGTGGAAGTACATAATTTCTTCTCTTCCTGAAGCTTATCACGATACAGTACTCTTCAGACTACAGTTACTCTTCAGACTGTGCTCCTGCATTCATGTCTAGGGATGAATTCACACCCTCAGTTATTTCTAATGGTGTGAACCACAAGGTGTGACTGAAGTAAACATTGGTCTTGGGATGACCAAGACAAGACCAAGACCGAGAACACAAGGTTCATGTCGGTACGGTAGATAGAACATTTCAACTGTTTCTTCCCCTGGGTCATTAAAGTAAGCAATAAAATAGCCTCAGGTCTTTCTAATCTGTATTATCTATTTGGGTGTGTATGTCTAAGATTCTTTAAATATCATTAACAGCTCAAATCATGGAGAATTATCCAAAGGTCATTTGTCTAAGCCAGGTAGCTTCTTTGCTTTGGCTTCATTGAATGTCTTTCCTATTACTTCATATTTTCTATTGTTAGTTTGAACTCTAATCCATTGAGTTTTCATGTGGAAGCAGACTATTCACCATTACACTTGGCATTCACAAAGTATATTTTAATCGAAAGATTTAAAGTGAATAAGTAAGCCCCCGGTATCACTCCACACCAGTGAGTAAACCAAGGCACTAAGAAGTGAGGACATAGAGATCAGGTGAGTAAGCCTTCACTTGTTTGCTTTTGCTGGTGGACATTACCCATGCTGGTGGAAACTGGTAAGGGGATGATTTTTTTTTTTAATTCAGAAACAGGTGAATATGTCTCGCATTATCAATTGAGAAGGGAAAAGAATAAAATTAGGGAAGTGAAAAACGTAGGGTGAGGAATGCATGATTTATATTTTATGATACATAATAAAGTAAAAGAGGAAAGCAATAGAAGAAGCATCCCAAATGAAGCTGAACAGCAAAAAGAAAGAAGGGAAAAATGAGCATGGAAACGAGGCACATGTAGGACTCTCCATTTAAACCATGGAGTACTGCTGCTCACAAAAGCCAACATTTTATAGCCATATCCATTTTACCCTTCTATAAATTTTCAGCCTGAGTGTGTTACACTTTATATTAACAGGACATCTAGTCTCACACGCACCCACACACACACACCACGTGTTACACATAATGGTGTTTAACATTTTATAGCATCTGTTCCTGAAAGGACAGCTGCCTCTCACTAAACTTCTCAATGCCTCCTGAAAAGCAGGTAAGTACATTCTGTTATCTTCCTTTTATAACATGAAAAACTAAATGACTTGACCACACATAGAGTAAGAAGATAGTCTTCAGTTGGGGATTATTTTCCAGTAAAAACTAACCTTGTAGCTACCATTACTTGACCTTCAAGTCCTCACAGATCTTTTCAAAACACCTAACAAAATATGGGAATGGAAGTTTCTGGCTATTAATGTCTGAATTCAAATGACAATAGTTGAAGGATAGCAGAATAAAATGACACCGAGGGGCCGTTCCTTATACACCCAGTGCTCCTGATCCTACATCTTCCATACTGGCAGAAAACCATTAGATCGGGTTTCCCCCCCAGTATTTTTATTCCGTTGCAAGTACTGCTGGTCATAATTCAACATAAAGTCCAAGGAAAAAATGCATGCTTTTGGAGGAGTTTTACTAGCTGTAATATGCATACACACACTGTTCTTTCATATTTCAGATTCTTGGAACTCTCTCGGTTTGCTCTTGGACAAAAGCTATGTAGAAGACTTCCACATATGCAGAAAAAGAGAGGGCTCTCACCAAATGCAGCTGAAATACAGAGCTAATGACTGAGGAATCTACGATGAGATCTCCCTCCTAGAGGGACATCCTGGCAAGTGCTCATTTCTGCAGGCAGAGGACAAGAAACAATTTGTACATTCCAAGGGTCCCCAATTGAAAAGTGAGGTTTGATGAATTATATATACATATATATATATATATTTTTTCATTTTTAGGGATAATTCAAAGTCTTCCAAGAATGAGAAACCTGTGGCCTTAAGACTGCATGTGGCCCTTTGACTGAGTCCAAACTTCACAGAATAAATCCCCTATTTTGTGAAGTTTGGATTCAGTCAAAGGGCTGCACTTGAGGACCTAGAGAGCCACATGTGGCCTTGAAGCTTCAGGTTCCCACCCCTGTCTTAGACTCTTTGTACTTTCCAACAAACAGGGGGAAATCTTCCCCCTTGATATCTATTTCTTCCAGATATTAAATTCTCTCTCTCACACTCAGGAAGCAACAGAAGTTACGTGACTTGCCCAGGGTCATACAGCCAGTAAGTATCTGAGGCCAGATTTGAACTCAGGTCCTCCTGACTCCAGGGCCAGTGCTCTATCTACTGTACTACCTAGCTGCCCCCAGATATTAATTCTAAAAGTCTTTTTTTTTCTTTAACATCTGTAGTGTAGCATTTACAATTTCCAGAACTCAGGGCAAATAGAGCCTTAGAGGCTAAGCTGTGTGCTTGTCACTGGTCCAAAATAAAGAGGTGAATGGAATGAATAAGATACAACAAGGGGATCTTTAAAGGGCAGCTTTTCACACAGATGCCCTTTCTTCCCCTAACTCAGCACGAGGATGGTCTCTTGAGAAGTTTTAATACTAAATGTGAAGGTGCTGGCTGGTAAGTGCTGTATCTACCTATGGCGGTTTCCAGACTCCTGGTAGGAGCTAGAGTCAGCAGAGAATCACACCGATGAGCGACGAAGGGCTGATGGTGGAAAGATTCTCACAACAGAAGGAGATGTGCTCTGCATTTCAGCTGCTGATAAGCTATTTGTGAGGTGGGCTGTCTCACAGTTCTTCACCTTGTCTATTATGCTACTATACATTCATAAGCTGGGGCTGGGCAGAATCTGTTACAGAAGACACAAACTGTGATTTCTCTCCTGCCTCTAATCCAGGAGTTCTTAACATCAGGTCCATGATTTCCCTGGGTCTGTAAACTTGGATGAGGAGAACATTATATATATCTTTATTTTTACTAAGCTCTAACTGAAATTTAGCATTTTCTTCCATTTATTTTCATATTTAAAAACACAAGAATTTTAAAAATATTTTTAAAGTCTTCACTAAGTGCCTAAGAAAGGTTAAGAACCCCAATCTAATCCAACAAAGATTTATTAAGTGCCATTCTTGGCCCGAGCACTAGTAACACAAAGACAGCATTCACTCTACCAAGTGCTGCTGTCTATTTTCTGAGTTTACAGAGGAAGACAGCACTTCCTAGGACAATGAAATGAAACAAGAGTAGGGGGATTTTGCAGTGTATGGCTCTGAGGTATAATCTCCCTAGTTAATGAGTGATATAGAGAAAACACTTGGTTCAGCAAAACTTTGTTTTGAAAGAAAAGAAAGTTTTAATATAAGCTTAGTTTTGCCTAATATTTATTTAGATTTCGTTATATTATGGATTTATAATTTTTGCCCCAACTTAAAGAAAAGAATAGACAAATCTTAAGTTCTAATGCATCCATAAAATGTTAAAAAGACCCAGAAAGAAGGCCTCTCCCTTTGGGCCAACAATGCTAGAGAGAACATGGAGATGTATCACCCAAGATGGGTAGGTGTGAATGAGTTATGGTAGGACATTGCAGGCCATCTAATCTGATACCTCTCATTTTACAGATACGGGCAATGAGGCCCAAAGAAGTGAGATAATTTGCTAAAATGGAGCAGAGCTAGGATTTGAACTGAGGCCTTCTGGCTCTTCTGATTGTCCTTCCTATACCATATCATATCGTCTCTTCTTGCATCAATGAACGATGGAACAACAAAAGGAATAGTAGCTACATTAAAATTTTCCATACAAATGATAGCATAGACATAGAAATATTTTAGTTGAATTTAATAAAGAAAAGACAGGGAACTATTATTTCATTGATTATTATACTGATATCCCCTCTCTCTGTAACTTGAACTTATCCATGCAAAGCATTCAATTAATATATTTTGTGTGTCTATAGAAGATTTATTTTTTAAAGTGCTTAATACAGTTGTATTTGGCTCTAACCCAAATCCTAACCTTAAATGTCTCCGACTCTAACCCTCACCTAAATGAAAAGAGCAAGCATGGAATTCCTGTTTCTGGTAATCAGTAAATAAAATACCAGTTTATGCATTTTTTTTTCATAAAGGAGGCATTCCCCCAAAAAATCTGGGGAAAAAAATTGTTCCATCTATATTTTTAATGGAAAAAAAAAGCATCAATACATGTCTTTCCAGCTAACTTTGTATCTCTATATATTTTCAATTAGGAGAGGTAGGGCAAGGTAATAGAAAGAGAGCTAGTTTAGAAGGTAGTGACCTGGGTCTAAATATTCCGCATGCTATGTGATGTTGGGCAAGTCATGGAAAGGCTCTGTTTGAGCCTCTAAAAGAGGTCAAATAATACTTGCACTACCTACCTCATAGGATTCTGAGGAAAGGACTTTATAACTCTTGAAGTATTATATAAAGGTGAACTATTACTGTTATTGATGAAATATGGAGTATATGCAGAGAAGTCCACTTAATTCCAACTTCATTAAAAACTAAAAAAGTTTAAAATCTGTGAGAAGCTGCTATAGTAGATTCTGAATGCTGATTGTAAGTCATTCCTTTTATTGCATATAACATGCCTGTCACACTCCAACCTCCAGGCCATATTTCTAATCAAACGGATTCCCCTTTCAGTCTAAGAATATGAGCTATGAACAAAAATAAATGAATAAATAAGTTAATAAATGCATTTTAAGCAGTATTCAAAAGGGAATCCTCCAACCAAAAATCAGGTTTATTTTATATCTCTTATGCACACATCTAAAACACAATGCACCTAAGTACACGAATTTCAAGATCTGCTTTAAAAAGACCTTTTCCAAACAGCAAGGTTGGAGTAAAGCATAAACAGTATATAACTTTGGAATTCTCTGCAGAAGTGCTTGACAATTATGAGTCTCCAGACAAATTGTCTTGCTCTAACAAAATGCATGTCCCATTTTGGGCTCCATGAGCAGTTGCAAAGGAGATTTCATCAAAATCAACCCCACTATTACCAACATAATAAATGGTCTCTCAAGACAGATTATTTCCTCTTCATTAACATGCATTTTTTGAAAAGTGGATTTTAGCTTGTGCATTTTTAGTTGTTTTAAAAGGATTCCCCAAAGATATGGAAATATGCCTTCAACATATTGCACAATAATTTATTTTTCTATTGCCCTTCAATTTTTTTTTGTTTGTTTGCTTGAGTTTAACAAAGCAAGCCTACCATTTTGGGCTTCCTCATCCCAACAAAAGTGGCATCTATGACATCCAATCAGTGTGGGTTGTGAGTCTGCACTAGACCAGGAGCTAAGGATAAATGTTTCACTCTATTTGTTGCCACCATCTCTACCCCCAGAGCCCAGTGGGCTCTTTCTTCCCTCCTCTCCTCCCCATCCCTTTGCCATGTGCAAAGGAAAGAAATGGGGAAACAAGCATTTATTAAGCAGCTTCTATGTGTCAGGGACCTAAGCCCTTTGCATATGTTATTTCATCTGACCCTTGCTACAATCCTTCTGGGGATAGGTGCTATTACCTCCCCATTTTACAGAGAAGGAAATTGAGGCAGACAGACATTGTGACTCACCCACGGTTGTATGGTTAGTAAATGTCTACAATCAGATTTGAACTGTTAGCATTCTATCCACTGTGCCACCTAGCTTCGGTTGAAGTTCTAGAGTGTCTCTTAATTAAAAGTTCATAGAAAAGATACCTTAATTTGACTTGGAACTGTCCTCAGAAGACCTACAGGACATTTCAGAGAGTTCCTTAGGAGAGAAGGCGAATTCTTTGAAATTGCCATTTTAATCCACTTAGAGTAGATTCTAACTGAGTCTGGCCTCTACACTTGAATCTAGGTTATAGTTCCTATAAATGTTTCTTGTCCCCAAACTCACATAGATTGTCATGTTAAACAGTGTGTGTGTGTGTGGGGGGGGAGATTTCCTTGATCTAATATAGAGAAAACAGTTTACAATATCACAACTTAATCTTCATGCTACTGCAAATTGTAAGCCTGAGTTCCCATTCTTGTTGACTCAATATTCTGCTCACAGTGGCTATTCAGTTCTGGTCCTTCAAAATAGTATGGGCTGATTTCTTATTATGCTGGCAACTCCACATAATACAGTCTTCTAGAATTAGATATTTCAGTAGGTCTCTTTGGGGCTTAAACCAATTGCTAAAAAGCATTCCGGGGTTATAAAATGGACCTCAAGTATAGTAACAAGATCAAGCTTTATGATATCTTTCTTCCCTCCTGGCCCCCAATTCTCTTCACTTGTAAAATTATTGAATGCTTTATGTCAGAAATTTTAATCCCATATACATGAATACTATTCCCAAATGTCAAGTCAAGCCAAGGATTTATTAAATACCTACTATATGCCAGGCACTGTGCTAAGTTCCAGTGATACAAAGAAAGGCAAAAAAAAACAAAAACAAAAACAAAAACAAAAAAACAAAACCCAAAAAACCCAAAACAAAACAAACAAGCAAAAAAAAAAGCCAAAACCAGTCCCTACTCTCAAGTGGCTCATAATCTAATGGGGGAGAAAATACACAAACAACTACTTACAAACAAAATATATACATGATAAATGTCTAATTATTTCCCTTATTTGGCTATCTTAGTCCTTGGTTAGAAGCTACATTAGCTTTCAAATTCTAATTTGATCTGCTCTGCATAAAATTTTCACACATCTACTCAAACGGACTAAACTTGAGGACCAGTGATTTGCTATAAAGAGGACTCTACCCATTCCCTGCCTACCCACCTTTTTGGTCGAGACCTGTGATTTTGCTGAAGAAAGCAACTCCTCATTGGGGAATCCCTCCAACAATGGAGATCTACAATTTTTTATCTTAGAAAGATGCCTGGGAATGCTGAAGGGTTAGATGACATGTCTAGGATCAGACAGTCAGCATGTGTCAAAGATGAGACTTGAACCCAGGTCTTAGTGATTTGAAGGCTGGCTCTCTAGGGACCACATCATACTGACTCTTACGAAGTTAACATTAGAAGGGCAGCTTTAGGTGACTCAGTGGATAGAGCATCAGACCTGGAGTTTGGAGGACCAGAGTTCATATTTGACCTCAGACACTTAACACTCACTAGCTATGTGACTCTGGGCAAGTCACTTAACCCTGATTGCCTTTCAAAAAAAAAAAGTTGACATTAGGTAGGAGAACCTTAATGAATTCACACCTGATTTCAAAGTTTTAGTGTGAATTTTAAAAATCTCCATGCCAATTAAAAGGCATTTTCCTAGGTTATTTTCCCCATGTTAATCAAAAAAGAACTGATAATTTATGAAAACTTACTTTGATTTTAACCTTTCATAAAAGTAAACATCATGGTTACAGATGAACATGGTTAGAAGTAGGCTAATAAAGATGTAAATAATTTCTGTGAATTCCTTTAAACCCTAATGTTGTTTCACTTTTCTTGCAAGAAAAAAGGAGCAATAATGCCACCTTGTATTTAGTCAGATTTATTGTGTAAATCTGAATAGAATAGGATGGGATGTATACAGAAGCATTTATTAAGTACCTATTTGTGCATAGCACCATGCTAAGTCTTACATTAAAACAAAACAAAAAAAAAAACAATCCTTGCAAATGAAAACATTAGGATGAAATCTTATCAAGGTCCCTGACGCTTAACTACATAGAGAAAAAC